TGGGCCGAACAGGGTCCTCCAGGTGAGATGGGATCCGGGAACATTCCCTGGGCTCCTGACGGAAAAATCCCGGCTCCAGCCGGAGCTTCTGGATCCTTCCTGCTAATTAACAGCTCATTACCAGCACTGATTAATTAAGGAAGGAGGGGGCAGCTCCTCATGGAAACAGGAGCTGGGAAATGGAACCGGGAGGGAAAAAAGGGAAAGGAGGGAAGAGGAGCCAAGTTTTCCGGGGAAATTCCGGATTCCCGGGATATCCCAATGGTGGGAGAATTCCCGGGAAAGATTCCAGAGCCCCGGGAGCCGGGAGAGAGGGGGGAGGGGGTGGGTTTGGATCAGCACATCCAGCCCCAGCCAGCGGGATCGGGAAGGGCCGGGAGGCGGAAAGGCCGATCCCGGAATTCCGGGAGCGAATCCCTGCGAGGTTGGGAAGAGCCGAGGGGTTTTCCGTGGGCCGTGACGTTCCCTGTCCCCTTCCCGGCATTCCCAGGTGGACCCGGAGAAGCGGCAGGTGACGGTGGAAGGCGGGATCCTCCTCTCGGAGCTCAACCGGGAGCTGGACAAGCACGGGCTGGCCCTGGAAAAGTGAGAGCGGCATTCCCGGGATTCTCCAGGAGTCCGTCCCTGGGATCATTCCCGGTGTTCAGCCTTGGAATCCTCCCGGTGTCCATCCCTTGGGATTCTCCCTGGAGTTCTCCTGGTGTCCATCCCTGCTGACATTCCCAGTGTCCATCCCTGGGATTCTCCCGGTCTCCATCCCTTGGAATTCTCCCTGGAATTCTCCCGGTGTCCATCCCTGGAATTCTCCCGGTGTCCATCCCTTGGAATTCTCCCGGTGTCCATCCCCTGGGATTCTCCCTGGAGTTCTCCTGGTGTCCATCCCTGGTGACATTCCCAGTGTCTCTCCCTGGGATCATTCCCGGTGTTCATCCTTGGAATTCTCCCGGTGTCCATCCCCTGGGATTCTCCCTGGAGTTCTCTTGGTGTCCATCCCTGGTGACATTCCCGGTGTCCATCCCTGGTGACGTTCCCGGTGTCCATCCCTGGGATTCTCCCGGTGTCCATCCCTTGGGATTCTCCCTGGAGTTCTCCTGGTGTCCATCCCTGGTGACATTCCCGGTGTCCATCCCTGGGATTCTCCCGGTGTCCATCTCTGGAACATTCCCAGTGTTCATCCCTTGGAATTCTCCAGGTGTCAATCCCTGGGAACATTCCCAGTGTCCATCCCTGGGATCATTCCCGGTGTCCATCCCTTGGGATTCTCCCTGGAGTTCTCCCGGTGTCCATCCCTTGGGATTCTCCCTGGAGTTCTCCCAGTGTCCATCCCTNTGGGAACATTCCCAGTGTCCATCCCTGGGATCATTCCCGGTGTCCATCCCTTGGGATTCTCCCTGGAGTTCTCCCGGTGTCCATCCCTTGGGATTCTCCCTGGAGTTCTCCCAGTGTCCATCCCTTGGGATTCTCCCTGGAGTTCTCCCAGTGTCCATCCCTGGGATTCTCCCTGGAGTTCTCCCGATGTCCATCCCTGGGACATTCCTGGTGTCCATCCCTGGGGATCCTCCCTGGGGTTCTTCCGGTCTCCATCCTTGAAATTCTTCGGGAATCCATCCTTGGAATCCTCTGGGTGTCCATCCCTGGGACATTCCCGGTGTCCCTCCCTGAGATTCTCCCTGGGATTCTCCCGGTGTCCATCCCTGGGATCATTCCCGGTGTCCATCCCTTGGAATTCTCCTGGTGTCCATCCCTGGGGACATTCCTGGTGTCCATCCCTGGGGATCCTCCCTGCAGTTCTCCTGGTGTCCGTCCTTGGAATTCTCTGGGTGTCCATCCCTGGGACATTCCCGGTGCCCATCCCTGGTCCCAGGATCTGGGATGTGGCCAAACAGGGATTTCCCTGCGGAACAGGGACGGTCACTTCCCAATCCCAGAGGGAATTTTGGGCTCCTCACTCCAAGACATGGAAGGGGCAGGAGCAGCGGGAATATCTGAGGGAGCTGGGAAGGGGCTGGAGAACATGGAATGGGAATGGCTGAGGGAGCTGGGAAGGGGCTGGAAATCTGGGAATGGCTGAGGGAGCTGGGAAAGGGCTGGAGAACCGGGAATATCTGAGGGAGCTGGGAAGGGACTGGAGAACCGGGAATGGCTGAGGGAGCTGGGAAAGGGGCTCATCCCGGAGAAAAGAGGGATCAGGAGGGACCTTTTCCCGCCCCCACAACTCCCTGCCAGGGGTCCCCAATTCCCAGGGAATGAGGGACAGGAGGAGAGGGAATGACCTCCAGCTGGGCCAGGGATATTGGGATATCAGCTGGGATACTGGGAACAATTCCCACATGGAAAGGGCTGTCAGGCCCTGGAATGAACTTCCCAGGGCAGGGCTGGAGTCGCCGTTCCCAGAGGGATTTCCAATCCCTGTGGATGTGGCCCTTGGGGACACAGATCCGGGCTGGCCTTGGCAGTGCTGGGAATGGTTGGACTCCGTGATCCCAGAGGGATTTTCCATCCCAACCC